GAAATCAAATGGTCGGGTGGAATTGGGTGGGGAAAAGAATGAAATCGAGGAAGGCCAAAGGTACATTGGATTCAATTTTAACTTGTTGTTTGTGCCCTCCATGCCCCCTTTTCACGTTAATTATGCAGGGAGGCCAAAGCGACTTGTGGTTTTCCTCAATCCTAGATCTGGCGCTGGGAGTGGAAAGCAAGTTTTCAGAAACACAGTTCAGCCCTTATTTAATGCTGCTGACATTGACGTTGATTTGATTGGTTTGTAAATCTACTCCATTGGCCTCGGCCGTGAACCCTAGTCTGATCTATCGTCTTGTCTTTTTTTCTTTCTTTTTCCTTAAGAAAAAAAAGGTGGCGGCCTTGATGTATCAACATTGAACTGACCGGCTCAAGGTGATTCAGAATTATTTTATTCTGTTCATCTTGATTGCATCTGTATTTTTGAACTTGGGACTGTATTTCAACAGTTGATGGGTGTGTACCGACTGAGCTAGGCGCGTTGGTGCCTTGTCTGATCTCTAATATTAAAATGTTTTTTTAATGTGCTGAGCTAATTAACGTCTATCATGATCGATTTGTGGGGACACATCACTTTTTTTATATTCTGATTTCCATGCCACAGAGACTGGTGCAACCACTGATTTTACAATTTCCAGGCTCTGCACTCCGAAGGCTGTTGATTTGCTCTTTTTTCCTGGGTTAACCTGTTGCAAGAACTGCACTGTGGACTTCTGTAATTACTAATCGACAGCATAAAATTCAGATTGTCACAAATTGCAAATTGTTGATGGCCCTTGATTCTGTATGCTGTGAAGTTGACTTATCCTTCGGCGGGGGAGCACTGTCATGCGAGGGTTCTCTTCATAGCAGTTTATTTTTAGAATTTTCTTTTTTTTTTCCTTTTCTTTTTTGCAGGAACCTTGCCTGGCACTTGCCTGGCCGGGCCGCCTGGCCAGCCAGTGCCGGGTAGTCCAGTTGCTAGCCCGGATTAAAGTACAAAAAGCCAGAGGCAGCAAGGCGTCGACACCGTTGGCCACTCAAGCTTGTTGTGGAAGCACTGTCCCGACCTTGTGCTACCAATCTCCGAGTGAGGTTGAGAGACATTCGAGTAGAGCAGCCAATGGCTGTGTGTGTGTGTGTGTGTGTGTGTGTGTGTGTGAGAGAGAGAGAGAGAGAGAGAGAGAGAGAGAGAGAGAGAGAGAGAGAGAGAGAGAGAG